TCAGAGATTGTCGCTAATGCAATGCTCTTCAAGGCTTCGCCCGATCAGCAAAGCCAGGGCGTGGAAACACACATGCCATAGAGGGTTTCGGGTTTAGGGTGCAGCTGTTCGTTTGACTTGAAGGACTCTCGAACTCAAATTCAGGGCTTTTGGTAGAGGGACGTGCTCAACCCCGTTCCTCATGACCCGTAAGAACGAGCAACTCCTCACGCACCTGCAAGCACAAGCATTGATTCTACGGTTCTGCTACCGGCTCCAGGTTTCATTGTCTCCTATATACACTGACTAGGCTTTGGGAGAGTGAGTGTTTTTGGAGTTAAGGTTCACCTACACCCTGCATTCTACAATTCAGAAGACTACATGCAAGCCCCGACCCTACAGAGCTAAAACACTTTCTGACAGTATAATCCCGAAACCCGAGAATGCCGCCAAACCTATACACTGTTGCGCTATAAGCCTAAACCGCTTAAACCCTACCATGAGCCCCACAACAGCCCCACAAACTTACAAACCTAAACCCTATACACCCCACGCACCAACCCAAACCTAAACCGCGCAGCCCAAACCTTAAGCCCCAAAACCCCAAAAGCCCAAGTTCCAAGCCCAGCTTTGTGGGTCTCCATTTGTGGTGGGCAGCATCGCAAGAGCCAGGGCGGTGGCTGGCTCATCCTGACCCAGGGTTTAGGAGTTTAGGGTGTTTTTTTGGGTTTAGGGGCGTATTTTGGGGTGCTTAAATATACGATCAAAGGGGTAGGCATCGGTAGAAATGGCATGGCCTGGAGCTATAGCTCACTTGATAGAAGAGGAGCTGGGGTTCTACCAGGGCGTGTGCTGAGCTTACCTCGCTTCCCACGGGTGACGCTGTGCTCGGTGCTAAGAAACCATGCACAGAACTAAAATGCTCAGGCCAGGCGAAGCGGCGTCTTAAGTTAGGAGTCACATCTGGACCAGGTTTAGGAGGAGGAGTATGGCGTCTGAGTCAGAACTCCTACTCCACACCGCAAGTTACTTTGAGGTCCGCCTGGAGTGGGAATCGTAACAAATGTTGAACGCAGCTGCCTTTAACGTAGCTTTGCAAGTGAAACGGACAAACTCAAAACGTGTCCTGAGCTTATCGACACATCAGCACATCAATTCAGTGCCTTCCTACCCCTTCGGGAAAGCACACTAAGTGGCCAGCTGCTAGGCAACAAAACGGCCTGAGGTCTTCAGAATCCCACACCACCCCAACCGCACACAGCCACACCGTGCCCCACTGCGTCCTGCGATCCCCATTTGCCACCTGTGCGATCGGCTCCGGATAGCGTTGCAAAGCCTCAGGCCTCTTGCTATTGGAACACACTTGCGGCAAACTCTGGCGATGACTCGTTCTGCTGCTACAATTCTTCTTACTCATACGACCATTACGATCATTCTGATTGTGGTCATCATCTTAGAAATTACAATCAAACAGACTTGCGGGTGATGTCGAGAGGCGACAGCAAGCTAAACAATGTTGGGGCGACTGGTGGATGCCAACAGAAGATGTGACCTTGAAGCCCCTATAGACTTGTCATTGCAAACAGAAACTGACAAACTTAACTCATAAGCCCTATAGAAGCCTATTTAAGCTGCCAATGACACCATACATGTCTTCCTACATCCTTCATCCTTAGGCCTAAGTTAAACCCTCAACCCCTGATCTACGGCATCAAACCCTCAAGTCAAAGGACCCTGGAGGGGGGCGGGGGCTTGCAGGCTAGGGGGTGGGGGTGTGGGCAGGCTCCCTAAACCCTAAACCCGAAACCACGAAACCACGAAACCGCGACTGGAGGTCCTTATGATGAGGGATCTCGTGACCATGCCTCGCCCCAGGGGAGGCAATTGGTCCAGCTCGCCGGCGTGAAAGGGGTACGCTTGCAGACCTGTGCTCTCAAAGAGTAGGGTTTAGGGTTTCGGGGCGGACCTAGTTCGGAGACTGCGCTTCAGGGTTTAGGTTATGCAGTCAGAAGCTCAAGCGTGCAGTTTTAGAGTTTTCGGGCCCACCCGACCACCCTATCCCCTGTAACCCCAGAAATCTTGCTGACTGGTACACCCTGGCAGCCCTAACCCAGAAGTCCTAGACCCAATCAGCCACAAAAGCCTGATGATCCCCAAAGCATCGCAAAGCCCCGAAGGCCCAAAAGCGACCCCGAAAACCCACGAAGCATCACAAAGCCCCAACACCCTGAAACACTCGACCCTACCATCCTAAGGCCGTGGCTTTGGCTCGAGAGCGCAAGCGCACCCAGTGCGAAGGTCTCCTCCTGCACCTCTGAGTGTTGCAGGTCAAGAAATACACAGAAAGGTTCATGACGACTGCAAGTCGTGAGTGCCCGTGGTACAGTACTAGGGCTTAAGGTCAAGGATTTGAAGGTTTATAGGGGTGTAAGGGATGGAGTCTGAGGTTTAGGGTGTTAAGGCTCGAGCAGGTTTAGAGTTTAAGCCTACAGTGTGCGAGGTGTTTAGGGTTTAAGGTTTAAAGTCTATGGCTTAGGGTTGGGGGGTTCAAGGACTAGGTACCCAGCAACCTGCTTTGTGAGTTTTAATGAGGGACTCGATCCATGCAAAGAAGGGCTCAAACCTGAGCCCCCTTCCGATTAGGGTTTAGGGTTTGGGGTTAAGGTTTAGGGTTTAGGGGAACCCTAAGCCTTATACACTCGAAACGCTAAGAGGCCAATGAAGTTCATATTATGACAAAACCCAAAATTAGATAAAGAAACCACACTTAACCCCTAAACCTAGTAAACCTACACCGGAACTAGTCCCGAAACCTACACCATAAACCCTACACCCTAAACCCTAAGATCTAAAGCCTAAGCTCTAAACCCTAAACCCTAAACCCTAAACCCCAAACCCGAAACCCCAAGCCGCTTGAAGGATGGCCTCCCGTCCTTCGGCGATGACCTTGGTGAGGCAAAGGTCTGGGACATGGTGGGGTTTCGGGTTTAGGGTTGTGATAAGGGTTTAGGGTTTAGGGATTAGGGTTTAGAGGGTCCGGGGGTTGTGGGGTTTAGTTTAGTGTTGGGGGGGGGGGGGGTGGGGGGGTAGGGTTTAGGGGTTTCGGGTCTATAGGACATTGTGGGTTTTGGGGGTGTAGGGCTTAGGGGTTTAGGGGTTTAGAGTTTAGAGGTTTAGAGGTCTGGGGGTTTAGGGGCTTAGGGGGTGAAGGTTGAAGGCTTAAGGCTTAGGGTTCAGAATGGAAAGGCATTTTCCCTGTGCCCGATAGGGTCCGGACTCCAGTGTTCAGAGCTTAGGGAGGGATTGCCTGGGATGCTACTGTAAGCGCTCAGGGTTTAGGGCATTAGGACTTATCCAGCGGTTGTTTGGCTGTGGGGTCTAA